GAATTTGATGGGACTCAAATTTTTGGTGGGGGCAAACTGTAACCCTAGATATCGAAATAATCACGTGAACAGAGGAATAATTATCCGAAGGCTGAATGAAATACCAAATGGAATATAGATAAACATTTAACCGACAAAAGAATATTTAACTGAAATAATTAGAAATACATTGTTATAGTTGTACAATAGTTAGTTATTTATAATAATATTTATTTATAATTCAGTTATTTATAATTATTTATATTATTAGATTAGTTATTAGTAGTCTAGCATAAATAGATTATTATTTCGTTGGGAGGACTTTGATAGTTTAATTGATGGAATGAGAAAATTATGGATCATATAAATTATGATGGAATGGGAAAATTATAAATGATAAATTAAAAGGGAATCAGACAAATCAATTGTTGGGGAAATAATTCATGGATACAGATTTATAATGAAAATGTTAAGTTGGGGAATGTATAATGGAATAACAAGTAAATTGTTGGGGAATGTTAAGTTTTAGATAGATGATCAAGAGATAAGAAAAGATATTCAAGATAAGAAAAGTTATTTAAGATCGAGATTTTGGACTTAAGTGAAGCGGAGGGAGTTTCGACTTGAAATTGAAAATAATATTGGGAACTTAGGAAAATATAATGATAATTAATAATGTTATGATAACACTAAGGGAAATTATCGAAGTTTGAAATTTTGAATAAATTAAAATGATAAAATCTAAACCAAGCACGGATACATATATATTTATAAATGTTAAGATTTCGTCTATCGGTACATGGCAGGTGCCGGTGACACCGGATAATGTATAATACTTTAAAAGTAATATATAAAATTAGAATTTCTAAACTTCTTTTGGATATACTTATAATAATGTTAAAAAATATATAATTTAATACCTGGTGTCTTAACGATAATAAATTTGGTTGGCTAATATGTTTAGTCAAATATCAGAGAAAAAAGAAAAAAACATAGTACATTTTATATTTCATATTCATATATGCCAAATTTCAGAATTTTTAGAATAAACATTGATTGTGATTTGACAGCATCTATAGGCTATCCATCATGATATATATAAGTTATTTTAATAAATGGAAGCAGTAGTATGAGGAGGAAGTTAAGTAATGAAATTTTGGAATTTGACTAGTAGTGTGAGTTCAACAAGGCTGAATAAATTTTTAAGAACAATTTAATGTAAATAAAGTATAGACTTTTGGACTTTAGAATTAAAAAAATAATATCAAGTACTTGAAAATCAAATTTAATTAATATTACCACAAGGGACTTCAGTTTGGTAATACTACTTTCTGATTGAATTCGATCAGACTTTGTTAACTGAAATGAGTTGAATGTTATAAAATGATACATTAATTACATTATCTGTTATGATATTTGACTTCAATAATACTATATGATTATATTAAACCTTTAAGCCATCAAACCATTCTTGATTGTCAATCACAAAATTTAAGACATTTTGACTTTTTTTGTTGAACTTAATAAATAATTAATAATAAATTGGCAAAGAACCCAACTAGATTTTCAATGATCTTAACATTAAACTGTAAAATTTGATATTTTGAAGATCTGACAAATTTTATTCATAAAAACTTGTTTAATTAATATTATTTATCAAACTGCTCTTTGTAAGATTATATAAATAAAACTAGTCACTTTAACATTTTTTGTTATCAAACAACTAAGGGATACCTGTAGCAAAAGGGGGATGAGACAATAATAAAAATTAATATTGAAAATTTTTTATAAACTTTATTATTAATACAAAGTAGATTAACGGGATTGACAATCAGTTACTGTGCAAATAAGCATAATAATATTAGAATAGTTTTGTATTATGAGTTTTATTATTTTAATAAATTCATAAATGTGCTGCGGAAAAAAAAAATCACAAATAATAGTATTTAATTTAAATAAAGTAAAATAAATCTTAACGTTAACCCCAGAATCTCATTTTTTCTCCTTGGAATCAATTTCTTATGTTTCCTTCTAAATTGCTTGTCTCCTTGAAATCTAAGGATGGTCACCAGTCCTAGAAGACCTCGGTCTTGGGCTAATTCTGGCCAGATACATAGTGTCGGCCGGGATTATTAAATATGGCAATCACGTGATCCCGGATAAATAGTTTAGCCATCGGGCAAAAAAATTTTTTACTGGTTCTGTCATTGTAACACAAAATTTTGTGTTCATTACACTTACTTGTAATTCAGAAATTGTCTTATTTCCACCTCATGTGACTTATATGGCGCTGCTAATATATTGGTTCATTGTTTAACAAAACTCTCTCCTTTTTCAAATTTATACACACCGAAATTACAAAAACAAAATAATGTACTCATATGGCAAAATATCAAATATATCATCAAATCTTTAAATCTAGTTGTCAACCTTATGAAAGTCAAAGCTCACTCAGACGATTACTTCAATGATTTTGACGATCGCCTTGCTAATGAGGAACGAACAGTTCTACCTCATAGTTATATCAGTCATTTAGGAATTCCTGATCAAAATTGTACATTATGGTTCAACAATTCTATTATAATAGGAGAGATATACGAAAAGCTATTAAAAGATTGTAAACTTCAAACGCTTTGAACTTCATCTATCACATCATTTGATGAACAAATTATGATTATTATTGACTTTAATAACCTTATTGATTGGAAATATCACAGAATTTGATTAAATACAACCCTCTCACTCGTCCTATAAGCCTCAATTTATATAGTCAACACGTTAGTTGGAAAATTAAAGCCTCTACGCGCCCACTACCAACTATTGATATACTTAAGCGAAATTATCCAGATTTATTAAAAATCTTTCTTTATATTTCTTCTGTAATGCTCAACCTGAAACAAATGATCACTTTTGGGACTGGCCTAGTTAAGGTTGCTTGCCGAAACCTAATCCTGTCTCTTATACACATCTAGATGTGTATAAGAGACAGATATTAAGGTTATAATAAAAAACTGGCGAAACTTTGGAGAAAGGCGAAACTGCCGAAACTTATTATAAATGCCGAAACTGCCGAAACTCTGCCGAAACTATAATAAATCTATAGTAAAATTTTGACGAAACTAATCGTAGGATTTTGAAGAGGTTTAGACAAGCAACCTTAGGCCTAGTATCACGCAAATTATCATGGCATATTTGTCAAACATCGAGATAAATTCAAAGCTGTATTTCTTATCAATTCTGATAAACTGCTTAGTTTATACCTTGTGATTTTGCATAGCTTATGAATCACCCACACAAGATTGAAGCCAATCAACATTTATCAATTTTATTTTTAAGCCTAGTCCCTTCTGAATTAGTCACAGTATTTATAGCAGCTGATATACCTAAGAAAAAATACAATGCTCTGATCAATGAATTCTTATTTGAACTTCACCAAGATTTATTTGAAAATGGAAAGTTGAGCGTAATATTATGAAGAAATCGTTCACCACTTACAAGCACCGTCAATGTGATACATAACGCATTCACTTTACTTTTGCGTCACATAATCACAACAATCATTTTGTCTATAGCAAGTAGCAACCCATTTAACGATAATAGACGTCAATTAGACAACTCTCATATGTAAAAACTATAGATTTGTCTTCACTTGATTTTGCTAATGTAAATTATTCTGATTCATGTAACTTTTATAATTTTTACTTTACGATATAACCCCTTCATCATTTGTTATAGATTAGGCTGTTTTTTTCTTGTTTTATTATTTTAACTCAGCTGGCAGCATAGTTATTCCATGCTGCAGAATTTTTTCTGAAGGGTGGGTCCGACTCGATCATGTTCGGGCGTTTTCTCTAACTTAGACTTCTCTATATAGTTTAGCTAAGCTTCAGCTGTCCCTTTCTGTATAATGGTCTGATTAGTTTAACCACACTTCTAAAGTAAAATAAAATAAAATAAATAAAACTCTCCTTTTTTTCTTATTCCTTTTTTTTTCACGTTAAAATAATGTTTTATACTTTTATAAATTCATTAAATAATAAAAAAAATAAAAATTTTTTGAAAAGCTTAAGCATATAATATTTTTATGAAGCTGTAAATGACTTTTATTTACATTAAATACGTTCTTTTTACTTTTTTTTAGAATTTATATTATTAATTTTGAAATGACAGACTTGAGTGGACTAAGTAGTTATTTAACAGGTATGGAATAATAAAATTAATTGTTTACATTTATTTTTAATTTTATAGTGTAATTTTGATGCTTTAGTTAAATGAAGTAGGTCTAGGAATCTTAAATAATGCTATTCAATGGGTATGGGGCTACTTAAATATTAATTTTATCAAAATATCTTGAATATTTGTAAAAATATTAATATTTTTGTATAGAATTACTGGGCCACTTGCGCGTGAGTGGTATTTTCACTTTTAGCGTAATTTTGGTACTTTTGTTAAATAAAACATGTCTTTGGAGATTAAGTAATGTTATTCAACAGGTGTAGAACTGTCTATATGTTAATATTTATCAAGCTAGCTTGAGTATTTTTAAAAAGTTTTTATTTATTTGTTTATTGAATTTAATATGATTAAAAGTGTAAGAGAGTTATTTTTTAATTGTTTTTCTTGTAAAAGTAATAAAATAATTTTATTTTATATAATATTTTAAGAAAAAAAATTTTTTTTTTTTTTTTATGGTTTTTTTTTTCTGACAAATGTTACACGCAAAACTACCGACCAACTCAATTGAAATTGAGCCAATTAAATTTAAACGCCACAAAAATCACGTGGGTGGGAAAAAGTGATGGTGATACTGGAAATTTGTCACTCGTTAATGCACATCAGTGCACCGAAATAATACGGCCCGAAAAAATAAAATTATTATTTGTTTGTGAAATTATATGTCAACTCTACTTGTTCAAAAGATAAATTATTATTTGTTTGTGAAATTTTATGTCACAACTCTATTTGTTCTAAAAAATAAATAATTAGTTTGTGAAATTTTATGTCACAATTCTATTTGTTCAAAAAAATATTCCTTTTTAGTAGCTCATTTATGATGTACTACAGTAACCCTATAAAAAATTTTTTCAATTTTCTAAAAAATTTATATAGGGCAAATAAGAAAAAAAATTTTATCTAAAAAATTTGTCTAGAAAAAATAAAATTTTATTTCCAGTAAAAACAAATTTCTAAATAATCAATGGGAACTAAATTTAGCAAACCAAATAATTCTGATAAAGATACTGTTACAATATATACCAAAAATTGTTTACATTGCAATATACTTTTTACTGAAGAATTATGGTGTAATGAATGTATTAATTCTTTAGAAAAATTAGCAGAAAATAATGATAAAGAAGCAATGTTTAATTTAGCCAACTGTTACAGGTATGGAGAAAGAACAGAAAAGAATTTAGAAAAAGCCTTTCATTGGTATCAAAAAGCAGCAGAAAAAAATCATATTGATTCAATGTTTGATTTAGCCAAAATTCATTATAATGGAGAAGGAATAGAAAAGAATTTTGAAAAAGCCATTCATTTGTATCAGAAAGCAGCAGAGAAAGACCATACTGTAGCAATGAATAATTTAGCCATATGTTATTACAATGGAGAAGGAACAGAAAAAAACTTAGAAACAGCCTTTTATTGGTATCAAAAAGCAGCAGAAAAAGATCAAATTATTGCAATGTTTAATTTAGCCATATGTTATACAAATGGAAAAGGAACAGAAAAGAATTTTGAAAAAGCCTTTTATTGGTATCAAAAAGCAGCGGAGAATGAGGATGAGAAAGCAATGTTTAATTTAGCTTGCTTCTATTATAATGGAGAAGGAACAGAAAAAAATTTAGAAAAAGCCTTTTATTGGTTTCAGAAGGCAGCAGAAAAAGATTACATTGGTGCAATGTTTAATTTGGCTGCATGTTATTCAGATGGAGAAGGAACAGAAAAAAATTCAGAAAAAGCCTTTTATTGGTATCAAAAAGCAGCAGAAGGTGGAAATAAAAAGGCAATGAATAATTTAGCCATATGTTATGAAAAAGGGGAAGTGACCGAAAAGAATTTTGAAAAGGCTTTTTATTGGTATCAAAAGCAGTAAAAGGTGGTGATGAAGTTGTAATGTATAATTTAGCAAGATATCATGAAAATGGAAAAGGAACAGAAAAGAATTTAGAAGAAGCCTTTCATTGGTATCAAAAAGCAGCAGAAAAAGGAAATATTGATGCAATGTCTCGTTTAGCTACATATTATAGAAATGGGAAAGGAACAGAAAGGAATTTAGAAAAAGCCTTTCATTGGTGTCAAAAAGCAGCAGAAAAAGATGATATTTTGGCAATGTTTAATTTAGCTAATCTATATTATTATAATGGAGAAGGAATAGAAAGGAATTTTGAAAAAGCCTTTTATTTGTATCAAAAAGCAGCAGAAGGTGGTGATGAAGATGCAATGTTTAATTTATCTATATGTTATTTGAAAGGAGATGGAACAGAAAAAAATTTTGAAAAATACTTTTATTGGCAGCAAAAAGCAGCAGAAAATGGTTATATTATTGCAATGTTTAATTTAAGCATTTTCTATTATAAAGGAGAAGGAATAGAAAAAAATTTTGAAAAATACTTTTATTGGCAGCAAAAAGCAGCAGAAAATGGTCATATTGATGCAATGTTTAATTTAGGCATTTTCTATTATAAAGGAGAAGGAATAGAAAAAAATTTTGAAAAAGCCTTTCATTGGCATCAAAAAGCAGCAGAAAATGGTCATATTGATGCAATGTTTAATTTAGCCATACATTACGAAAATGGAGAAGGAACAGAAATGAATTTAGAAAAAGCCCTTCATTGGTGTCAAAAAGCAGCAGAAAAAGATCATATTGGAGCAATGTTTGTTTTAGCCAAACTCTATTTTTTGGGAGAAGGAACAGAAAATGATTTTGAAAAATTCTTTCATTTGTTTCAGAAAGCAGCAGAAAATGGTCATATTCATGCAATGTTTGGCTTGGCCATGATTTATAGAAATGGAAAAGGAACAGAAAAGAATTTAGAAAAAGCCATTCTTTGGTATCAGAAAGCAGCAGAAAAAGGAAATATTTATTCGATGTTTAGTTTAGCCGAAATTTATTATAATGGAGAAGGAATAGAAAAGAATTTAGAAAAAGCCTTTCATTGGTGTCAAAAAGCAGCAGAAAAAGGAGATATTGAGGCAATATCTTGTTTAGCTACATATTATAGAAATGGGGAAGGAACAGAAAAGAATTTAGAAAGAGCCTCTTATTGGCATCAAATAGCAGTAGAAAAAAACCAGATAAATTCTAAGAGTGAAGTTGGATTATGTAATGAGTGTAAGCAACCATATACTGATTACCAATGGTGCCAACAATGTAATGCTAAACGATTCCAAAAATATTTTTCAAATTAGACTAGTAAAAATGAATTTATTGATAAATTTATTCAAGAAGCACAAATTAATGCTAAAAATAGTTATGAAATTTTAGAGTGGATACCTTATAATAATTTGTCAAGTATTAATTACTATGATAAAGGAGGATTTAGTGAAATTTACAAAGCTATCTGGTCAGATGGGCCTATTTGTGGTTGGAATTTTGATAAACAACGATGGAATAGACAAGCGTGTTATGAGGTTGTTCTTAAAATACTTAATAATTCATCAAGTTTAGATAATAAATTTCTGGATGAGGTATAGTATTTGTATTAATGGCAAAGTCTATTTACTTTTGCAAAAAATTTAATAATTTTTTATTCATTTATGTAGTGGAAATATCATTATAATTGTCAGAAAAAATCACTTTCAAAATTTATTCAATTCTTTGGAATTACTCAAGATCCAAATAACTTAAAATATATAATAGTTATGAGTTATGCAAAGAAAGGAAGTTTAAGAAATTGTTTATCTGATATAATTAAATTTAAGTGGCAAGATAGGCTACAGTTATTGAAAAACATTATATCAGGACTTAAAGTAATTCATGAATCAAATTTAACTCATGGTGATTTTCATGATGGTAATATTTTAATGTCAAACAATTACAATGAGATATTTATTATTGATTTAGGATTATGTAAACCTATAAATGATGATAATAATGATAATGAAGTTTGTGGAGTTTTACCTTATATGGCACCTGAAATTTTGAGAAATAAACCCTATACCCCAGCAAGTGATATTTATAGTTTTTCAATGATAATGTGGGAATTTATATCCGGAATTCCACCATTTAAAAATAAAGTATATGATCATCATCTTGTCTTAAGTATTTGTGAAGGGGAACGTCCTGAAATTATAGAAAATACTCCAAAATGTTATGTAGATTTAATGAAAAAATGTTGGGATTCAGATCCTTCCAATAGACCAACTATAACGTCACTTGAATATATTGTGTCTAATTGGATTGAATGTATTAATTATTATTATATAATGAATGGATATGGAGATTGTGATGGAAAACATAAATATTTACCTGAACATTTAAATGATATATTGGAATTTGTAGAAGCAAGCAAAGCTTTAGTACAAGAACAAGAAAATTTCTCTATTATCCAATATCATCTACAAGCATATTATACAAGTCGTAAACTTACTGAAATTCTAGTCAATGATATTTCTGAGTGCATGGATTGTGAAATTACAATTACACCATTAAAAGATCTGAGTATAAAAACAGAAATGTCTAAATCTAAGTTCTAAAAGAATAGAAAATATATTACATGATTAGTAAGGCAAATTATATATATATATATTTAAGTTAAGCTACTATTTTAATAAGTTAATTAACAGAGGTAGTATGACAAATTAAAAACAAAAAAATTATTTAAGATTTTTTTTTTCCATCATAAATTAAGCTAAATATGATCATCAATTATACCACAAATGATTATAGGATTTTTTTAAAATACATCTTTACTTTACATTACATAAATCTTATCAACTAAATTAGGTAATCAAATTAATTTTTTAATAGTATATTACTAGCAATCACCCGTTGCTTCGCACCGGAACTAATGAATTTGTTTAAGTGGAAAAATTTAGTATTATAATGTAATACTAAGTAAATTAAAGATGGTTACGGTAGTTCTTTGTTTATAATTAGGATTTAATATGGTAATAATTAGTTAGCAAAAAATAATAAAATAATATGTATTAAATTATATTATAATATTAGAATGATATAAATTATATTTACAATAATGTAGCTATGATTTGACGTTTGAGTCTAGGATGAAATTCGGAATAATTAAGGGATTGTGAAAAAATAATTATCAATTAATTTTTTAGAAGTATTTTCGAAAAAACTTTAATATTATGAAAATAGTACTATACTAATTATTTCTTATTATTTTATATTACGTCAATCTTAAACTTATAACTAATTGTTTCATTTCATTTATTATTATTCTTTTGATACTCATTTTACTCGAATAAATTATTAATTTAACTAAACCATTTGAATTAAGTTCTTTATTCAAAATCTAGTGATTATTTAGAAAATTCCGGATATGGATTTGATAATCTATTATTAAATCAATAATTTTTTCAATTAATTGGTAAAATATCAATTTGTTTTTTGATTTTTAAATCAAACTATTTATCCAGCGTTCAATTTAATCGAAAAAGTCTTAATTATCTTTCTATCAACGTCGGTCAATTTTCCTACATGTTATGTTGATTTTTTAAAATGTATTTAATATAGTATTTTATTTCTTTATTTAATAATAATAAAAAATTGAAAGAAAAAGAAAAAGAAATTGGTTTAAAAAAAGGGAAGTTTCCAAAAAAAAAGGAATCCGAAAAAAAAGTACCGAAAAAAAGGACAATAATTCGGTCCAAAAAGAGTGAAAAAAAATATTTTTTTAAAAAAATAACAATACGGTCAAAAAAAAATCAAAAAAAAAAAAATTCGATCTTAAAAAGACCGAAACAATGGGATTATTTAAAAAATAATTTTTTCAGTTTTGGAAAAAAATTAAAAATTTTTCGGGTTGAAAAAAAAAAATAAACCGAAAGAAAAGGGATCAAAAAATTTTTTCGGTTTGAAAAAAAAAATGAAATTTAAAAAAATTTCTTGATTATACGGATCGGATAGTTTTGACCATAAATGATTAGGCGGAGGCATGTCACAGGTTTTAATTATGTTTCAAGTTACACAATTCAAATTATTTATGCGGAGACTAATCCAAACATCAGACAAATTTTTAGTTATATAGATTCTTATAATCCTTTAAGATCAAATTAATTTTCACCAAAAATAAGTAAAAATAAATAGAATATTGATTAAAAAATTTATAATGGTTAAAAAGTATATGATTTTTTTTCTTATAATCTTGTATGAAGATCAAGATTTGGTATTGTTTAAGAAAATGTTTAATAAAATGAATAATTTTGAATAATTTATAAAAAATTTTTCCGATAAAAAATTTACAAGTAGTACGTACTTTTACGAGTCTTTTACAGTTTTTTACAATATTAAATATAAGTAGAACAATTATATTATTGAAACAATGTTTATTTATATTTTTATTTTCAATTGTAATTTGTTTAGAACATTTAAATTTAATGACCAAATCCATACTTCAATCATTTAAAAAATTTTGTTGTTTCATACAAGTTGATAGATAAGTAATTAGTATAGATCAAGGCTTTTATGTGACTTTTGTATTATTATTTTTCTGAAAATAAATCAAATACCATATATTTATTTTTTATTGGTTAAATTATAATATCATGAATATTCATTAAATTATTAACTATTTAATATTGTATAAAACTTTAAAAGTACAAATTTTTATATCACTTTTAAATTATTTTTCAGTTGGATATTATCTATAATAATATGTTCAAATGATCTTTTTAATAGGGAATGAAAAAAGAGTCCATTTATTTAAGAAATGTAAAATTTATTATCTGGTATTCAACAACGATAAATTTAATTGGCTAGTATACTTAGTTGAATGTCAAAGGAAAAGAAAAAAATATACATTTTTAAGATAAATATTGATTCATATTTCACCAAATTACAGAATTTTGCTAAAGATGCTGCCTTAATCTTAATAGTAGTTTCCAAACTGCAAAACTGCAAAGCTGAAACCTGGTAAAACTGTTTCCGATATATTTTTTTATTTTCCAAAACGTAAAACTGGTAAAATCATCCGAACTGGTAAAACTATCCAAAGAAACTGGTAAAACTAATCCAAATCTAATAAAACTACGTAAAATATAAATCAATCAATCAATCAATAAAGTTTATTTACTATTATTATATATTATATAAATGTTTATTTCAGACATCTGGCACGTGTCGCACAATAAGGTCTTCTTTTTTTATTAACGTAGTACAAATGAAAACATTATATTTATTTGATTTATGTGAAATTATATATCGTAAATTTACTTGTAATTTCTAAATAATTCTGGATGGTGTTTTTCATGAATTTGAGTCTAATAAATATCAAGGAACACTCGCATCACTATGCCTTGACATTAAGTTTGACATTACGCTTGGATAGAAATTAAACCTAAGAATTATGATTAGTTTTAATAGAATATTCATGTAATTCAATTTGTGCTTTTGATTTATTAAATGAAAAGAATTTTCAAATAAAATATTTTATATTTACTGAAATTTATACAGTGTTGTAAAGTGTAATTAAAAATTAAATTTATTATGTTAAATTGGTAGCTGTTCACTATCAAAATTGATACCCAGGTTGAAAATGTATTCCGCAAAGGATAGAGTCATCACTAACTTTTCCAAGCAGGTTGAGGTGAAACAGGCTCTTGTACGTTGCGGGTTCGTTACTCTTACGTATCCTAACTACGACACGAGGGAACTTCAGTACAATTAACAACCCATTTTTAAACGAGCGCAAGAGAAAGGTTTTCTCTAGGCGAATGTTGTATTTCCGAACATTTTGACCTTGAATTGTCGTATTTGTACAAATAAATTCTTATTACAACGTAAATAGAAAATCAACAAATGAAACGAGATTAGCAAATAAGATAAAAAAAAATAAAAAAAAATATAGTTACACTCATTTCCATTTTCATTTCCATTTAACTACATAATTCTCCCAATATAATTAATTGCTAAAAGTCCAAGCAGATTCTATAAAAAAATAAGAGGAATGAATGTTAGTAACGTTTTTAAATCAATTAAATAAAAAAAATAAGACACATACCCTTTTTAAGTCTGATTTGTACAAGAAATATCGTATTTCTAGAAAACAAATAAAAATGAAACATTAAAAATATTTCTAAAATAAAAAAAAGAAAACATACTTCTTTCCCCTCCCAATTTACCTTTCAAGTCCAGTTTGTATAAGAAACTAGCGTTCTTAGAGCGCCCTAGAAAAAAAAAGAAATATTAGATACGTCTTCTTGAAGTCAAATAGGGAGAACAAACGGACACTTTTTGTGTCACCATCGACAAAACATATCGCTATGTTCCGGACTAAAAAAGGAATATTTACGCCTTCGCAACTTGCATTTTAGCCGATGGCCATAAGAATCTTAAGGTCTTGCGGACTATAATGATCATTCAATAATATCTTTTGACAAATCTGAACAAGAAGTATTTGATCAACTCGCCTAAATTTATTGTAATAGTTTGGCAAAAGAATAATTTTATATTCTCATTTAATAAAAGATTAGTTTCTAATTTTGCAATATATATTATATGTAAAAAAAAAAAAAAAAAATCTGATTAAAAATTGTATTATGTTGTACAGTTTGTTTGCTGCAAAATATGGCGTATGCACAATAATGTTAAATTTAGAAATTTGAAATAAATGATCTGCCGCAGATCCTGGGGCTGAGTGCCTTTTCACCTTTTCAGCCGCAAATCTTTTTCATTATCATTATCAAAAAAAAAAAATAAAGTTACGTGATACATTTGATACCCGTAACGGGATGTACAACATACAAGCTGTCTCTTATACACATCTAGATGTGTATAAGAGACAGNTTACAATTTTTTTTTTTTTTATAAAAAAAAAAAAATAAATAAAATGTCCAAGTTAATTAGAGACATTGTTTGTTTAATATTGGAAGAATTACAAGATGATGAAAAGACTCTTTGTTCATGTCTATCAGTTAATAAAACTTTTTCCGAAATAACGATTCCGATTCTATGGAAAAATCCTTGGAAATTCTTAAAAGAGGGAAATGAAAAAGAAAAATCATTATTAAATATAATAATTTCACATTTATCAGATGAGTCAAAAAATAATTTGAATCAAAAATGTTCATTGAAAATTTCCTATCAGAGACCTTTGATTAACTATGTTAATTTTTGTAAACATTTAAATTTAAATGTAATTCAAAGTATAATTAATAATGTTTTCGATAAATCTGAAGTAATGATTGTTAGAGACGAAATACTTAATCTTTTTATTAATGGAAATACAAGATTTACACATCTATATATACCTTATAAATTTGATTATCCATTACATCTTATTTCTGGAGCAAAATACTCACTTTCAGATATTGAATATCTTAGTTGTAACACTAAAATGTATGATGATATATTATCTGGATTAACAGGAATATGTAAATCAATTAAAGAATTAGAACTTATTATTAAAGCAAAATATAGCAATCATGGAATTGTTAAATTAATTGATAACCAGAAAAAATTATTAAAATTTCGTTTATTAGATAATTATAGACAATATCGGGATGAATCATTTCGCGAGGCTCTTGAAAATTCGTTGATTAAACATGCAGATACAATACAATATTTTAAGATAACGAAACAACCTACAACTAAAATTCTTTCATCTTTTATTAATTTAAGAATATTAGAATTGTATAATAATAATCATGGGGCATGTAATTGTTTAGAAGATATATCTTTACCTTCCTTACAAATTTTAAGAGTTAAGCACGTTCCAATCAAATTTTTAATAAGTTTGATCGAAAATACAAGTGGACATCTCGTTGAAATAAGTATTTTTTCTTATATAGATAATAATGAAATTAATAACAAAAGAATTATTCAAGTAATTTATCAAAATAGTCCAAAACTTAAATATCTTAGATTGATGTTAAGAAGTAGTAATATTTTAGAATTAGAAAATTTATTAGTTAGCTGTCAAAATTTGAATGGGTTATTTATTATGAGTATTACAGCAGATATGTTTGATTGGAACAAATTATTTGAAATATTAACTAGTTCTTCACCAATTAGTTTGTCTAAATTTAAATTTTATAATCATTCAATATTCAATTTAGAATCTTTAAAATTATTTTTTGATAATTGGAAAGGTAGGAATCCTATGTCATTACAATTAAATCAGATGATAGATGAAGTAGAATTGATAGAAAAATATAAAGCAGAAAGAATAATTAAAGAATATCATAATTCTTTACGTAATGAAGAATTTGAATGGAATTAACTAGTTAGTCTTTTTATTTAGGGATTTATTTTATATACTACATTTATATATTTATATATTTATTTTATTGTTTTATTAGTAGGTTTTGATTATATTCTAAGCATAAATATTAAATAAATAAAATATTAAATATATTAAATTTAAATGTATTAATTGTTTGATTTGCATTGAAGAATTTATTGTTGATGCCAATCTGCCAATCATATATAATTAATAATTGCTTCGTGCGTGCCGTATGATAACATGATCTTATATAATCGTAATTTTCGTATTATTGAATAAACTCATTCACATCATATACTCTTCTAATATCAAACATGAGATTTTTCTTTGAATTGACAATGATTTCGCGTGATGAGGCGATCAATTTTGCTAAGCATTCCTATGCAATTTATATATTATTTAATATAAGAAACATTATATTTACCTACTAATTATTTGGTCACGTGTCTGCCGGTAAAAAGCTCGACTACTGCGCCTCACCCGGGAATTTCCATGGCAAGTATGAATCAGTATGTGGTAGATCAAACCTCAACGAAATCCTTATTGAAAGTAAATAGTGTAATGTTGATCAATCATAATTCGAAAATTTTACGCCATAAAATTCGTAAAAAAAAAAAATTTTAACGTATATAAAAAACTAATTTATTATAAAATATGGTATCGGTATTTATAAAAGTTTAATAAAAATTCCATTTTTTTTTTTTTTGTTAAAATTATGAATCAGCAACAACTTATAAAAAAAAAGATCGCTCATTTGAGCGGCATAAATTGGTTTGTTTTAATTAAAAAGAAAATCTATTTTGTCTAGTTGATAATAAAGAATACAAATTCAACTATATCGTCGATCCAAAACTTTATAGTAATAGTTTAGAAAAAAAAAACGGTTATGGCTTGCCATCACATGCTGCAATCATATATTAAATGTGGTACAGCACGTAAGACAATTCCGTACAACATGTCACAACGACCATTAAAATAGTTAATAAATGTTAACTTTTAAAAACTTTTCAACCAAAAAAAGACTTTCTTTTTTTTAAAAATGTCCAAATTGAATAGGGACGTTCTTTATTTGATATTCGAAGAATTTCAAGATGATGAAAATACTCTTCATTCATGTCTTTTAGTTAATAAAACTTGGTGTGAAATAATTATTCCAATTTTATGGAAGAATCCTTGGAAAAATCTAAAACGAGAAAAAGAAAAATCATTATTAAACGTTATTATTTCACATTTATCAGGAGAGTCAAAAAATAATTTAAAAAATCTTGGTATTAATTTTTTGGAAAATTTATATCAGAAACCATTATTTAATTATATTAGTTTTTGTAGACATTTAAATTTATTTAAAGTCAAAACAATAATTAATGCAATAGATAAAGATTCTGAAAAGATAATTATTAAAAATGATATATTTAGTCTTTTTATTAATGAACATACAAGATTTACACATCTTTATATACCTTTTCAAGTATTTCTTATTCCTGGGACTAAATGTTGTTTTTCAGAAATTGAATTTCTTAGTTGTAATACGAGCGTAAATGATAATATTTTGGTTGAATTAACTGAAATATGTAAATCAATTAAGGAATTGGAACTTATTATTGAAGTACAAAATAATAATTATCAAATTATTAAATTAATTAAAACTCAAAAAAAATTGTTTAGTGTTAGTTTTCTAATAGATTATTTATATAATAATACTGATGAAACATTTCGTATATTACTTGAAAATTCATTAATTAGACATGCAAATACTATACAATATTTTAAGGCAACTAGACAACCTGCCACACAAATTCTTTCATCTTTTGTAAATTTAAGAATATTAGAATTAGATTGTATTTCTATTGATACTTGGAATTGTTTAGAGAATTTATCTTTACCTTTCTTACAAATTTTAAAAGCAAATCAAGTTCCAATCAAAGCTTTAACAAGATTAATTGAAAATACGAGTGGATTTCTTATTGAAATAAATATTGATTATAAAAATCATGATGAATTAAGTAATAAAAGAATTATTCAAGTGATTTATCAAAATTGTCCATATCTAAAATATCTTAAAATAATGTTAATTAATAGTAATATTTTAGAATTAGAAAATTTATTAATTAATTGTCAACATTTAGATGGATTATTTATTATTATTTATAATACAATAGGTAATATATTTAATTGGAATAATTTATTTGAAATATTAACTAAATCATCACCAATTACTTTATTTAAGTTTAAATTTAGTTTTTATCCTTCTTATAGACAAATTAAATTTGAATCATTAAAATTATTTTTTGATAATTGGAAGGAAAGATATCCTATGTTATTACAATTCAGTCAAATAGGAGGAAATATGGATGATTTGATAGAAGTATATAAAGTAAAAGGAATAGTTAAAAAATATGATAATTATTTATATGGTAAAGATTTTGAATTTTAAACCCTGTAAATTAAAATATTTTTTATACGTTTTATAATAAACAAAATTTATTGTGAACTTATTTTTATTTATCTAGTAGTAACATATTTGTCGAGATCATCTATCAGGCCATTACTTTTTGTGTAACAATTTATATTTCTTGACAATGTAATAAGGGATTTAATGATTTGATCTTGATTTCAAAACATATATTTACTACCAAATGATCATAATAATAATAATCCCCTGTCGCAATAAGTGTCACCTTCATACTAATTTTTAAAAATTGCGAGTGATTAGCTGAGTTTATAAATGACCAGGAATCTTCGTTTACTCATTTCCCAGCCTCATATAGAATATAGATAGCCGGGAAATTACTAATTTTAGTTTAAAATAGTTAAGTTTAAAATAGTTAATATTTAATGAATGACACGCCCTAGGGGGATTACCCATTTAGGGGAACATTAGGGTTTTTCCCCTCGGGAAAAAAACCCTATTATTGTCTACTCCCCATGAAATAAATAACACTATTAATATCATTATTATTTGAATACCTTTGGACGGTTCAAAAAACAGAGTTGTGTCATGAAGTAATGGAGTAATAATTTAATAATTTAATGCCCATAAATTACGTTATAATGAAGTAAAGTATTACGGTATGATATGTGAAATACGGTATAGTATGATGCTGATCACACAAATTATTAACAATTGCTGCTTGTTGAAAATTACTCATATCTCATAAGCTTGAAATTGAAAACTGATAAATTGGGAGAAAGTTACAAAATGAAATCAACTATAACTTGATATTACAATTGTATTTATTTTAGTCATGCAAAAAATTGGTATCATTTGTAATGATATTAAATAATTATGTACGCGGTAAATAAAGTAAATTTGATCTTTATTTTATACAAAACATATGAAAATACAATTAAAATAATTAAAATGATGTTTTTTAAAGAAATTTTAATTAATAACTTCACAAATGTAAGAAGGTTAACATTTTGCATGTGTAAAGAGAACCTAAAAGTTTAGTACATTTATAAATAATTCAAATAAAAGTCTGTAAGGTTTTTTATTCCATGTGGTTCGTATCATACCTGTCCTTTTGATAGCAGTAATACGTGCTTACGTGGTCAGTCAATGGATTATAGTAGCGGTAAAAAAATTGATATCATAATTGTATGTTATAACGTGTATTATCAAATAAATCATGAAGTAAATGTTTTAATAATACCTAGAATTTATCATTTATTTTCCTATTGATAATGTTGTAGTATGTAGGTATTCGTACATAGTACCGAATCATTTACAGAAATTAAAAAAAAAATTAATGATATTGTAATTATTGCCTTAACATGTGCAGGATACTAGTAAAATTTTATTTACATAGTATCAAATTTTTTTTTTGAAAACAATAAATTACGTATTTAAGTTTCATAAGTTCTGATGATTAGTAACACGGATATTAATGGTAATTAAGTGACCTGATCCCTTTAACATATAACCTTTCAGGTGTGTGGGATGTATTACTAGAATAATTCATTTGTATAAGTAAATATCATATAGAGCGGTAATTAGAAATCAATGAAATATCGTCTAATTATTAATATTAGTGGTGAATTACTAACAAATGACAATAGATTAGACCAAGTTTATTGATGAATTTTACCGTTATTCCTGATTTAATGGATTTAGCGTTAATCATTAAATATAATCTGTAATTATAGTAAAAATTAATATAACCTTTTTGTATGTTAAAATAAAAAACAGCCCGACTGGCGCAATTGGATAACGCGCCAAGACCTCTAATGAATGTTGAGAATTCAGTTGATATCTGGTGATTGTGGGTTCGAGTCCCACGTCGGTATACATTTTTTTCAAAAAATCTAAATTATGCCAGTAATATAATTGATAATTCGTAGTCATATTTAGTCATATCAACAGATTTATTAAAGATAAGTTTTTTTTGGTATTGATGATAAAATACAACCAATTTTCCGAGAAAATGGTCCCTGGGAAAGGTATGAGTCAATTAAATTTATTTTTAGTTTATTTATTTATTATATTTATTTTTCAGTAGAAATTATTTTATTATATAATTGCAAACTTTTAATAACAAATAAAAATTTATGTGACAGTTTCCAAACTACTTACTATAAGATAAAAATAATTTATCAGCTGTTAGTATTTTACCGAATAAAAATGCATTCTAACCTGGGTCTATTAGTACATATGACTAACGCTATATAAACCAGTCACGTTGTATACCAAAATTATCTAATTTAATAAAAATTCTAATGCTATTTTATATGATCAATTATCAGCTAACTTATAATTGAACATACAGTAGTACAATGTTAATATCTATATTAAACTTATTATTCTTTAATATTTTAAGTCAAGCACAATATGATATTCAAGGGCTGTCAAATATAGTAAGCAAGAAGAAAGATTAGGGAAACCATTATGTATAGAAAGTATGAAGGGATGATGCGTATCCGCCCAGTTGCATCCAAGGTTACAGCCTGAACGGAATCTTATTTAGTTATTTTTTGTAACTAACTTATTTTTTTTTGAATTTTGTAGGGTCAAAGAAGAAATGACTAATTAGAGAAGCCACTATATTATACTTAGTATGCTACAAGTATGATCTAAATTATACACAATAATTTTTTTAATATAAAATATAATAGAATCTTTCTTTTACAGTAATCAAAAAATTACCTTAATACAAAACTTAAACTAGTTAAATCCATTCAAAATCTTCACCATGCAAATAATCATCATATTTTTCAATTATCCCTTCTGTTTTATATTTATCCATCAAATTAGAATGTTCTTCCATATCATTACCTCCTTGACTTAATTGTAATATCATAGGATGTCTACCTTTCCAATTATCAAAAAATAATTTTAAGGAATCTGGTTTAATTTTTCTATAATAAAAAGCAAATTTAAATTTAAATAAACTAACAGGTGATGAATCAGTTAAAATTTTAAATAAATTATCACAATCAAATACATCTCTCATATTATCAATAATAATATATAAACCAATCAAATATTTACAATTAATTAATAAATTTTTTAATTCTAAAATATTACTATTTTTAAATAATAATTTAAGATATTTAAGGTTAGGACAATTTTGATAGATAGCTTCAATAATTCTTTTATTATATTTTTCATCATGACGTATATGATCAATTTTTACTAAAGTAAGATGTCCACTCGTATTTTCAATTAAACTTGCTAAAGGTTTGATTGGAACTCGACTTGCCTTTAAACTTTGTAAGAAAGGTAATGATAAATTCTCTAAACAATTCCATGTTATATCAAGAGAATTACATTGCAATTCTAATATTTTTAAATTAATAAATAATGGAAGAATCTTTGTTGCAGGTTGTCTGGTTATCATTAAATAATGAATATTATTCGCATGTTTAATCAAAGAATTTTCAAGAGATTTACAAAATGATTCATCATTTCGTATATATTTATTTATAAAATAAATATTTGATAATTTCTTTTGTGTTTCAATTAATCTAATAATCTCATAATTATTATTACGAACTTCAGTAAAAAGTTCCAATTCTTTAATCGATTTACAAATTTTAGTTAATTCAACTAAAATATTATCATTTATTCTAGTGTTACAGCTAAGGAATTCAATATCTGAAAAGGATTGTTCGAAACCAGGAATGAGATATAATTGAAAATCAAATTGTTGGGGTATATAAAGGTGTGTATATTTCATATTTTCATTAATAAAAAGTTTGATTATTTCATTTTTAAGTAAAATATTCGTTTCAATTATGTTTTCAATATGATTAAAATTTAAATATCTACAAAAATAAATATAATTGAATGAAGGTTTTTGATATAAATTTTCAATACTTTTACTTAAATTATCATCAGATAAATGTGAAATTATTATGTTAAATAGAATTTTTTCTTTTCCCTCCTTTAAGAATTTCCAAGGATTTTTCCATAAAATTGGAATAATTGTTTCACACCAAGTTTTATTAACTAAAAGACATGAACAAAGAGATTTTTCATTATCTTGTAATTCTTCAAATATCAAATAAAGAACGTCTCTATTTAATTTAGACATTTTTTATTAAAAGAAAAAAAAAACATGCAAGACATGCAAGTATGACTCATTTGTAAAACATAAATATTTATGGGTATGTCGTACAAAATACGTCAAAATTTCAGTCACGCGGGTAGTACAGAAATTCAAAGCCGATCACATCGTAACTTATTAAAATAAACATTCCCAAATTATAAGTGATCCATTTGTATTAAATATTATCTATATATAACTATTGCAAAACTATCTAATCTTATCAACCCTTCAGTTGTATCACTTATATAACAAAGCAATTCTCATACTTTCAAATTAACATAATAATAAAAGACGGATTTACATATTTCTGCTAATTCAACTAAAACATCATTTATTTCTGATAGACAGCTTTTTGCTTCAGCCTTCAGGAATGAGATGTATTTGAAAATCAAATTGATAGGCATATAAAGATGTATATATTCCATATTTCATTTATAAAGAGTTTGAATATTTTAATTTTGAATAATTAAAATTTTAGGTTTATTGCATATACTTTGAATTTCAATTATATCTTGAATTACTTTTAAATTTATAATGTTTACAAAATAATATAGTTATATAAGGGTTTTTGATATAAATTTGTCAAAAAGTCAACTCCTAGATTCTTTAAGTTGTTTTTGACTCATCTGATAAATGTGAAATAATATAAATGTATAATAATTATTTTCTTTTCCTAACTCTAAGAATTTCCAAGAATTATTCCATAAAATTGGAATAATTATTTTAAAAAAAATTTTATTAACTGAAAGACATGAATATAGTCTTTTATCATCTTGAAATTCTTTAAATATCAAGTAAAGAACGTCTACGTTTAGCTTGTATATTTTTTTTTTAATAAAATCTTGTAAAGGGTATATGGTTAGTTCACATGAAATTACAAAATTTATGTTGTTCCATGTTGCACAGGATTCTACTGATTTATTCATCACGTATCACAAGAGAACTCCAAGCAATACATAGATTGAATGAACCAAAATAATGTATAGAACCTTTCTATTTTGGATATTGTCAGGCGGTATTACGATATTCTGGTCCTGAAGAGATGCGTAGAGCTAATTACCTATTTATGCATTGCTTAGGCCTATCGCAAGAATGACGTGTAAACATTTTACAGTGATCGTCGATCTGCAGATTTGTCCTTTAGAAAACTTTCAAAAATTTTTAAAAACTATGGAAATGATTGGATGGACGATGCCATCCATCATGTGCAAAAAACATTTGTATTATAAGCGTACGTAAAATTTTCGAAAATTCATATTTTTGGTTAAACCAAATAAATTATGCTAAATTAAAAGTTCTATTTTAATAGAATCTAACAATAGTAATTTCATAAAGATAGGTTAATCATTAGCTATTCATCTTTATTCATTTAAAAAAAAAATTCTTTTTTTTTTATAACATACGACTCAAATCAAGTGAAATTATACTAAAATAAAAGCTCCAATTATGATCCTAATGATATTAAAATAAAAATTATCATTAATAAGGTATTAAAGGTATTCCAAATATTTTACTTAGCTTTAAAATAAATAATGTCTTTATGTTTATTTAAACTATTTAAATATAATATAAATAAATAAATCCATACCAAATTTTGCTTAAAGTTATAAGCTTTTATACAATCTTTTATTTCACTATTTCTAAAAACTTTTAACAATCAAATAAAATAGTTACTTATTATACTTAAAGTCTTGTCTGTAGGATGTTGAATAATTGACTGTCATTGTGCCTATACTTGCCGCCCATTTAAATGGGATGGGAGTCCCATCCCATCCCATCCCATTCCATCCCAAATCCCAAATCCCATTCCCATTCCAATCCCAAATCCCAATCCCAATCCCATCCCAAATCCCAAATCCCATCCCAAATCCCATTTCCTATAATTTCAGCCAAATTTTATAATTC